ATAGTAAGCTCAACACTAGTAGCTGTGCCGCTGACGCCACAGTAGTGGAGTATAGACCCAGGAGGTGCAGTACAGATATCCTCCATCTTGCCTTCAAGATGTGGTGGTGTTGCTGGAATCTAGTTGCCATGGGTACCCTATATACCATAGAGTATTATGCTACCTCATGAAGCACTCACGAGCAGTTGTACAACTATATTTCACGAATATTTCAATAGGTCTTACAATATTATTATGACGTTATTTCCCGTACGCATCGGGTGAGCCAGGCCAGCCTAGAGGCGTGTCTAATTAAGATGGCTGATATGGACATTGGATACTATGTAGCCTAATATCTATGATAAGGACTAGACAAGAAGTTTATCCTGTTTTAAAGAGCTCCTTGTTTAATTACTTAGATGTTTAAAGAATCTAAAGCACTCATTTTAAGGTTATTTTATTGCTACATACACACACACCAACACTGAGATAGTAATTGAAAATTTTACTGATGCATTGTGGCTAGTAGAAACCAAAAGCTATTTATAAAACTCTCATGAAATGGCATGCTAATAATCAATATAAAAGTACTCTCACTTTCTTTTTTCCTCTACGTTCAAAATGAATTGTGTCGTTACAAGACTTGCTTATTGATTTTATTTTGATGTGGTAAGCATTTTATTAGTTGCATGCAGAAAAAATTCATCTCCCTTCTCTTCCTCTTCTGCTTCTTTTTTCTCATCACCTCTTCCTTTCTCTCTCCTCTCTACTTTCTCTGTCTCTTCCCCTACCTCAGTATAGGTTTTAATCTCTTTTCAAGTGAATTGTGTCATTTAATTTTTGTTGACATCATAAGCATTTTATTAGTTGCTTAAAATTTCATCTTATTCCTCCTCCTCCTCCTTTCTCTGTCTCTTTCCTGTACCTGTAGGTTTTAACTTCTTTTAGTGAATTGTGTCTGAGTATACAAGACTTTGTCATTTAATTTTGTTCACTAAGTGTTTCATTATTGCTTAGATTTTATCTTCCTCCTCTTTCTCTCCCTCCCGCTCTTTCCTCTACCTTTAGGTTATGTTCAAATGAATTGTGTTTGATTATGTACATGGCTTCCTTATTGAATATTTTGTTGATATCGTAAGCGTTTTATTGCTTGCTTAAATATTTATCTTGCTCTTTTCTTACCCTCTGTCCCTCCTTTCTCTCTCCCCTCCCCTCTCTCTTTGTCTCTCTTAGCTGTGCCTGAATTTATGTAGAAGACTTGTGAATCATGATATAGTATCCGTATTGTTGCTTTTAGATTATCCTTTATTCTTCCTTCCCCATTTACGTAGGTTACTGCTCG